CATATCAAGCAACCAAAACCAAGATGAGGAGTGAGTTTTGAATCAACCCTCAAAGGAGACTCTCAGGATAAATTTGTATACATACATGCATTACCATCTTGTTAATATACTACAATATGAAGGCACATCTGTGTGGCTTCTCATAAGATGGTAGAAATTTTTGAGAAACTGTTCCATTGAGGTTCTAGGATCTAAAACGTTGTTATGAAGACTGACAATTTTCCAGCTCAGTGGCCAAGTATACCGCTCAAAGGCATGAGCTTCTGATGGGGAATCCATGCAGGGGGAAAGGAGAACTATTCCCTTTAGCAGATTATTAAGTAATTTGGGGATATAAAAATTAAATTAAAAATTCTCTTTCATTTGAATATGAAATTTCTTGTAATTCTCACTAGTACAATGTATCAAGATGAGATGATATTGCTAGAGAACCAAGTATAATGGTTGGCATATAGTAGATACCCCAATAAAGCATAGCCATGTCAGTAACAACCTTGATAAAAGACCAGTCCAAGACAAAGAAATGACACAGTCATATTAGAAACGTCCTTAGAGAAATGGGTCCCACCATGATTACAGTGACTCCTACATTCTCAATTGGTCATTCAACAAAATTGAACATGTCTTATATTCAGCACCAAGCTAGTGTGCCAACAAATATTTACTGAGTGTCTACTACATGCCTGGCACCAAAGAAGGCTTTTTTTAAGGATGAATAAGATAAAATCCTCCTGACTCAATCTTTGTTGAATGTTTTAAATTTATTTAGTTTAAATGTAAGAGAACGGCACATGAAAACACTCACATATTTGCTCTGTACTGTTCCAAATACAGTTTCTCTCCTAGTAGGACTAAGTTTGAGAGCTATGAAAATAATAAGGCATGTGCTAAATCATGACATTACATAAGCTTCACCCAGTGTTCCTCAGTTATCCTCACAACTGCCTTGATATTTCAGTTTCTAGGTATCTTCATTCAATCATATGTTGAGAGCCTTGAATAAAAACCACAACAATGGTTATATCCATTCATTGTCCACCTACTATGTGCTGGGGCCCTGCCAGGTTAAATTCTGCAGCCAACTGGCCAAGAGCATTAATCATGTAGTGGAGACGATAAAGAAGCCTTTCTTTGGAAATAAAGTAATACACCTGCTACTTTGACATTTGTATAAGTCACATATCCAAAAGCTGGCGCTGACACCATATTTGTTATGGAAGACACTTAAGAGCAGTGAGGTACAGTAAGTACAACTACAATACAACTGAGCCACCTAAAAACAACTTGCACTTCTGCTGACTTTGTTGGCTGCATCCTAACCAAAAATGCACAGTGAAATTAAATTATACTGCCGATAAGCGTTTTATGTTCCTCGGCATAGATGAAATGGAGCATTTGCCAAAACCTGCTAACGCTGCTTACGTGATTATTAATGAAAACAGGGCCTGTACATGAACAGCATCAAATGGGTTACTGGAGACAGTGACGGAGAAAACTATATACACACATGTTCCAATGAAATCCTAGAATTAAATGCTGACACCCAAAAGGCATGCAGGTTAAGCGACTGCGGCAGATGAAAATATATCAAAGCCAGATACATTTCCTGTTGAAAATTCCTTACATTCCATGACTAAATCCTAACGGCCACAAGCAGCATTGCAATCTCCGATTGTGCTGATGCACAGAAAGGAAACTGTACTCGTGCGGTCGTGCTGTCAGCAGAACCCCTAGACAGAACACAGTTGCAGTCTTAAGGCAAAATAAAAGTGTCTGGAAGGCAATTCACATGTTTTCACACAAGGAGTGACAACTGTGACCTTCAGCCCCTTCTAAAGGTTCTTCTACCTTAAAATCTTACTAGGTTCTTGTAGCCTACTCATAAAATACAGCAAGAATTTTATTTTATGTTTTTTAAGATTTTCATTGAATACAACAATGAAACTGTCTTGATACACTCGTGGTCCTCATGGCAATCACTATTTACTGACTACAAAGATACTCAGGGTATTCAAACTGTGTTTTAAACTATCATTTACATTTTGACTAAGAACCCCCAAAACATTCTATAATGTCTATATGTAATTAATAATGGCCTATTTCTTGATCTCAAATTCTGCAAGAGCGGGGTAGAGAAAGAGGTTACTAAAGAAATGGAAAACAAAAACTACCCTGAAGCAAAACAACCACTCAGACAACAAACAACATTGAATCACCATCAATATCTAGTGCTTGTCTGCGAAATCTCATTAGCAAATCATCCTTTATAAACTAGAGCTACTGACAGGATTCAGGACGTGCAGAGCTGGGTACCTGGCAATTCTCTTGCCAGAAAGAAGTCAGTAGGATTATAATGAAGTATTATCGGAGTTGCAGTTAATCTATAGTCCATAAAGGAAATCAGAATGTATAACTCAGATTCTAGCTATGACTATCCAGCTCTCACTTGAAACATTTTAAGAGTCCCACAGTAGATCCAGCACTGTGACTGCTGGATAAAATTGAGTGACCTGTATTTTGTTGAAGTTGACCCTGAATGGTGTATACAAGCCACTATTTATGACTGCTTACGATTCTTCACCATATTTTGCATGTGACTGAGAAGAAAGCACTTCTAAGAGCCAAATTTATTTCAAGGAAAATTCATACTACGTCTTCAGATTGCGCATATGTCTGGGCATATGCACACCCCCAATACACCCGTGCATGCCAAAAACACTGCCCCAAATCACACACCCAAACCGTATCTTTTTTTTTTTTTTTTTTGGAGACAGGGTCTTACTCTGTACCCCAGGCTGGAGTGCAGCGGCACAATCATGCCTCACCGCAGCCTCGACCTCCTGGGCACAAGTGATTCTCCCAACTCACCTGCCCGAGTAGCTGGGACACAGGTGTGCACCACCACACCCGGGTATTTTTTTTTTATTTTTGGTAGAGATGGAGTCTCTTTCTGTTGCCCAGGCTGATCTCAAACTCCTGGGCTCAAGTGATCCTCCCGCCTTGGCCTCTCAAAGTGCTGGGATTACAGGTGAGAGCCACAGCACCCAGGCCCTAAACCTTATTTTTCCATATTCTGAATAATTTTAAACTCTGTTGATTGAGTTTGGGTATAGGTAGTTTGTTTCATTTAAATACTGGAGTCATATTATTCAAAAACAAGTCCTAACAGTGGCTTGTGATAAACTTTTCACCGAGGTTAATGATGCCTACATCTACGGAATATTGATGAGGCAGAATTGCTTAAGAAGCACTTAGCATAAAATAAAATAAAATAAAACCAAATACCAAAACACAGTCAATTTCCTTTTTCCTATCTTATACCACTGAGAGTTAACTAGATTAGCCATTGGAATGTTGATTCTCAAAAAAATGTTCCTTGGTATCAGAAAACTGACAGTTTGTATTTTACTTTTTAAACCCGGCAAGGCATCCTGTTTTCTGTCTTATCTTCAAGAGAAAAGGCAGCTAAGGACAATTTCCACAGGCCTCAAGAGCATTGCGACCTAGTCAACAAAACTAGTTTTAATTAACAGATAAGTTTGCGGTTCAAGGTAAGAAGTTTACTTAAAACTGTTTTAGGGAAAAGCCTGGAGAATAATAGTATAAACAGATTATTAGAGAGGTTTTTTTTAGTATCTCTATTATACAGTCTTCCATATCGAGGCAGATCTTGGCAGAGACAGATGGCCTAAGCCTCTATTTAACAATGAATGATTAAAAGCAAAGGAAAAAAGGCAAGATACTATTTAATCCTTCTTCACAAACAAACATCAATAAAGCAATGAGGTTATTGAGTATTTTTATGCTTATAACCCCAAAGGAAGTACTCCTCACTAATTAAATGTGTACCGGTAACATCATTACTTTTACAAATCCAATGTAGATATTAATACTATTAGAAGTCTACCTAGAAAATGTGTTCAGTTGTTTCTTCATTCAATAGTCAAGCACCTACTAGGTGCTAGGTGACAGGAATACAGAGCAAAGCTGTTGTCATCTGCTAAGGAATCTGAACTTCATGTTTATCTCATTCACCAATTTCAAGTCCCTACCAACAGAAAAATCACAGATTCGCCCAATCCAGATCAATCTTCCATTAAGAATCAATCTTATAAGCCAAGCGGCTCAGGCTCTTTAGCCTCTTGTCACTATACTCAAAGTTCCTTTGGCCCCACTGAGTGAACCTGGCACCAGTTCCATGATCAGCAGGACGTGGCATAGCTAGTGCCAAAATACCGCAAGCATTCAAGCACCGGTGACCTTAAATCGAGGTCATTATTACCATCTCCTACCGTTTTTTTGACAGTTGGCTGCTGTTCTCTGAATGTCAGAATCCTCCAAATTCTACTGCATCATTCAACGTGTGGAACAAGGTTCATTAGGGGTGCTCCAGGTAACGTCTTTTCAATATTAAAGAAAAGAATTCCCTCTCTTCTTGTAAGAAATGGGTTAAGGATTTAGAAACTCTGGACAGTGATAGATTTGTTTGTTTGCCCACTCCATTTTAGGCTAATTTTCCATTTTAAGCAGCAATCTGGATGACTAAGTTAAGAATAATAGAATAAGATGAACGCATACAAAAGCACAATTGAGAAGGCTTAAGATAAACAGAAATTTGTTTCCTTAGATTCAAGGTCCACTGATCATTGCATCAGTTCAACTAGGAAGGCTGAAGAATGCCTTCATTCACTAATGGGAAAGGGTAAGATTCTTGGACTATTTTAGTTCTTTATTGGGGCCTGAATCAAATGACCTTGGGATCGTATGTTCTTATAATTTTAAATACAGTCATACACCACATAACAACTTTCAGTCAACAATGTACAGCTTATACAATAGTGATCCCCTAAGATTATAATGCCATATTTTTACTGGACATTTTCTGTTTAGATATGTTTAGATCACAAATACCACTGTGTTACAATTGCTTACTCTATTCATTACAGTTACATGCTGTACAGGTCTGTAGCCTAAGAGCAATGAGCTGTAGCATACAGCCTAGGTGTGTCATAGGCTATACCATTCAGGTTTGTGTAAATCCACTCTATGATTTTTGCATTATGATGAAATTGCCTAACAACGCATTTCTCAGAACATATCCCCATCGTTAAGCAACACGTGACTGTACATCTGTGATCTTTCTCAGTGAAATTTCAGGTATGTTCATTCTTATTCTGTCTGGCAATGAGTGTGTCTCAGTTTCAAAACCTACAGTTCTTGAATTATTTGCTTCTATAAATCTCTTTTCTAAGGCCAAGTTCTTTCAAATGTGTTCCTAACATTTACATTTATGCCCATCCTTAAGTCTCCTTTATACTTGAAACCCTCCCAATTAACATTCTCTCCTATCCTTTTTCCATTTTTTTGTTTTTCCTTTTAAGTAATCACTTGCTTACATCAACTCCTTCCCTGTATTCGCAATGGAAACACCTGGACTTGGTCTTGTAGACGCACACGTCTATCATGGCCATAAATATCACCATTTAAAAAGTCTTCATGCATTTTCTATAGTGGGGGAAACTATAAAGCACTAGGAAGAAAAAAAACAAAAACAAAAAACCCTTGTGTTTAACTTGTTTAGCAAGGACCATACTCACTCTGGTCATATTATAGTTGTGACATAGTATATTGGTATCTATGATACTTCTTGAATCCTGTCACTGTCAGTCAGTACTAACACTTAAGTTGTTGACAGCTTCACCTCTCCAATTGTATTTCACATTTGGCACATTATCACTCTCTACTCTTGAAAAATTTTAAACAGCTTCACAAAGCAATCAATTAATATACCACATACATAATAAATGTAAAAGTAGTAAAATGAACAATTCAGAACTTATTAGTGTTGGTATGTACCTCATTTAAAAACAGTTGCATTAGCATTTACTTAGCTATATCTGGCTTTTCATTTGATAAAGAGAACATAATATTAAAAATTATATTCTTTATCCATTTTTACCTATAGCTATTTGTAGATGTTTATAGAAAACGTGACAGGCTTAACGAAGCAATGATGATATCCATTCCCTCTGTAGAACATGCCCTGATGTGAAGGGCACTCTGCAGAGTCATCCTGGTGGACTTCTCTAGTGTACCCCCCATGCATGGCTAGTCCCACCAGCTGAGTCACACATTCACCACAGGTGGACTGGGTTTGGTCCCAAGCCTCTTTACTCCAACTGTGTTAATCAAATAGGATGTGAACAGATTATTCCATATAAATCCATGAAATAGGAGTGTAAACAGAAAGTGATTCACTGTTTCTATCAAAATTAAGCAGAATGTTTGAATGGACTTCATCAAGATGAGTCATTAAAAAATACTAAAGCTGATGTAGGTTAGATAACTGAGAAGTTGTGGGAAAATTTAGTAAAAATCTAGGAGGATTCCATATTTAGATTGTTTCCCAGCATCTTTAAATTACCATGCCAATTTAGAGAGACAGAGATTGAAAATCATAGAGATTAGCATTGTGGGTATTGTCTATACAAGGAAGATGTCAGGGAATTTCAACTAGGCCTTGACCTGATATCAAATGTTGGCAAATAAAAAAAGAAAAATACCTGTATATAGATTTAATACTAACACGAAAAGTAGAAGGTGTGTATTTATAATTTGTTATGACTTTTTTTGATTAATCAACTACTAGCATCAATAAACCAGACAAGAAGACTTCTACAATAACTTTTTAATCACCTCATATATTAGCTAAGGTGTTCTGAGTGCAGCAAAAAATTTTAAAAAAAGAAATTCTTTATTTAAACCCCAAATATATAAATATTTTCAGAAAATCAAACAAACAAAAAAGTTGAATGGCCCACATTGCTAATCTTGCTTAAACTAAGAATCAATTTTTAGGATAAGAGCATTTAGAAATTCAGGATCATTAACATCGGAAGATTTTACCCAAGTGCCCCACACAGTCACAATTAACACTGGGGCAGTTGTCTACTGATTGGGCATTTGTGGGAACACAGAATAGGTTTTATATATGAGGGCCACTGCCATAAACTGCCAAGATTAATCTGCCCACTGTGTGGTAATATTTTCATTCAGATTAATGGCTCCTTTTTGCCAGGACACATTTATTTCTGTCACTCGGGTCACATGTTATCATCCAGCCTTCCACCGATAGCACTGGCATTTACTATACTCTGCTCTGACCATGTAATGCATGCACATTTGGAATCATCAGAAGCAAACATCACATTTCTCCGCAGCACAAAAACAGGTGAACAAAAAGACTTGCTAAGCAAATTGCCTGTCTCAGTGCCTCCTTGATAGGAAAAGTCAGGAACCTACTTAAATATTTATTTTTAATTCCTCTGGCTAAGATTCTGACATGCAAAAATACAAAATGCATAGCTTTTTAGTGTCAAGTGATATCCAAAGCAACAGGCAGTGCATTTTACACATAGGTCATCTGTACAGGATTTTGTAAGGTTGTAAAGAGGGTTAGTCTTCTAGTACCTGGGAGTTCATATCCCCTCGGAGAGCCTGAAAAGTCTCTTTGTATATGCAGAGAGTTGCTAATATTTTCCTTTCTTCTACTCATCACACAACTTGCAAAGAAATACGTCATTTTGTTTCCAAATCTGTGTGATGTAAAAAATGGCACTAGAGAAAGAAAGGAAGAGAAATAGCATCCCAAGGATACATTTGTGTTCAAATTTCTTAGAACATGTATTTCCTCCAAATAGGTCAAGGCAATTTACAAAAACAAAACCAAAAACTTGAGTAATACAGAGGAAATTTGATGTATATGACTTGAGTTAGTCAAAGTCAGAGTAAGTCAACACCAAAAAAGAACAAAAAAGGCCTAAATTACTTTACCCCTAAAGTAATCTTTCTACATTATTTCACTAGGAATTAATGTGAAATAGTCTAAAAAGTGCTGAGCACATTTAAACAATTTTATGTGTGGTCAATTCTTCCTTTGAGTATCCTAACATCTTGTCAGTTGGAATTTAAAATATTTCAGACTTTGGGATAGGCCATGCAATGTTACCCAGACATGCTGAACAAAACAAAAGTCTTAATAGCTTTTGTAAAGCTGGGCGCAGTGGCCATGCGCCAGCAGTTCTGCTACTCTGGAGGCTGAGGCAGGAGGACAGCATGAGCCCAGGAGTTCGAGGCTGCCGTGAGCTGTGACTGTGCCTGTGAATAGCCACCACACTTCAGCCTGCGCCACATAGCAAGGCCCCATCTCTAAAAATAATCATCATATATGTAAGAATTTCCAAGACTTCTATTTTGTATGATATCCTAAATGTTGTTAGGGATTAAAAAACAAACAAGGCGTGCTGGTTAGACAACCCATTTTCTCTGAGAAAGGTACCCAATGCCGACATGGAATTAGTCTTTGTACAAAGAAGTTTCTTTCCATTTGCTTAACCTATGAAGGATGAACCTATACATCAAATCAAGAGTTCTCTTTAACATGTGCTTTTTAAGTGTTCATTTACATTTTCTTTTTATTCTAATTATTAAAATAATGCATATTCATTATAGAAAATGAAACAGAAAATAATAAAGGAGTAACGAGAACACGAATCCCACTGCCCAGTCAACCACTGTTAGCATTTTGTTGCATTTCTTCCACATTTTTCTTTTCTGTATACTTTTAGCATACTTACATGCATATAAATTTTATATATTTTAACATGATTTTAAGAAATTATTCAGTAGTCTTCTGATTTCACTTTCTGTAGTTTAATAAATTTTAATCAATTCTCTGGAAATGCTTAGAATTTCTTAGAAAAAAAAAAACAGTAAGGTTATCTCCAGAAGTAGATACTTTATATATCCAAATTCAAGTTTAAGTGAATCCTGAATATAAGATGATCTCTCATTTTCCATATGAGATGATTTCCTCAAAAAATAAGTGGTTTTTTTTTTAACAACTTATTTACATTAACTTTTAAGACTGAGATTGAAATGGTTAAATGTCTAGGTATAGTATTTCCTTCATTTAGTCGTATGCACATTCAAAATCACATGGCATATTATAGAGCATATTTAATTTAGAAAAGCTCCTTGTTTTCTTTCCTCTCACATTCCATTAAGAACTCCCCAGGCACAAAAATGTCTTTATTATCACCAGATTCTTTTTTTTTTTTTTTTTTTTTTTACTTCCCTGAGCAAATCGTCTTCCCTTCCAGATTGTTTGAGGTATAGCACTTTTTAAAATTCATGTATGGCACAGTTACCACAAGTACCAATTTGCTAAATAGCAGGACAGTTTGTCATAGATCCTGCAGGGGTATAATTGTGATCTCCATAGCAATGACACTTGTGGTGTTGCTTTATCTGTTCTTAAAAAGGGTTGTTTACAATAATGTGCAACACTTGTAGTTGTGAGGTCATGCCCAGATTACTAAATTTGTGTTAAATTTCTTTCTTCTTTTTAAATCTGATTTTACCACTAACTTCTTCAAGCACCATAAGCAAACATTCATGAAAGCCATTTTGATGTTCAAAATAAAGTACTGTAATTGAAAGATTAGTCAGTAATATGAGAGCCTTTGTAAGAACCTGAATATATATAATGACTTCTTTTTTGAATGATAATGTTCTGTGAAGAAAATCCTAATATTAGGGGCACATACAGTAACAAGAACACCTGAATAGCCCATAATAATTTTCCCTCTAGCGTATTTTTTTTCCTATCCATCCCTTGGTTAACATGACTCTAAGACTAAAAGCACTACTACAACAACTATATATGTGGGTAAACAAATCTGAATAATAACTTCTAGTACAGTACTGTCCAACAGAAGTTTCTGCAATGTCAGGAATGCTCTATATCTATGCTGTCCAATATGATAGCCACTAGCCACATATGGCTATTGAGCACTTGTAATGTGTCTTGTACTACTAAGGAACTGAATTTTTAATTAACTTTACATTGAAATAGCCAAGGTGGCTAGTGGCTACCCTACTAAATTGTAGTGTGGTTCTAGAGGGGAAGAGGTCCTCTTAGTTCTTACAGTTCCCCAGTGCCTAGCAGAGTGAAAAAAATCTTAAAAAAAAAAAAAAAAATAGGTAAGCATAGGTAAGCAATAACACTTTGTTAGATGAATCCTAAAAAGGGAAGTCTCTTTCCCTTAATAAAGGCATCAGGGAATCACTGTAAGCAGCAGATTGTTCTAGATACAGGAAAACTAAAAGCAGCAGATTGTCCTAGGTACAGGAAAACTAAAATGCCCCTAATAGCCCAATCTCACTGCAAAGATGCCACCAAAAGAAAGTTAATTTCCACAGCACCTTCTTTGCATTTATTTCCAAGGGCACCTTCATATATTTCTTATGGCACCTTCTTTGAAACCTTTGGGCAAATGTGAGAAACATTAAGAAAGCTGTAATTTTATTTTTAAACTCTCCTAGGATTATATGGGAGTGGTTAATCGGTTGTTCAGAGCGAGTAATATGAACTGGGCATGTAAGATTTTATAATCCTATTTGCCTTAAGAAGCCTGGCAGAGAGTATTGTTTAACTTAACAAAACATAGTTACAGTTTTATTTTTCAATTAAATTTTAAAGCCGGGAAGAAAACTATCTCTCAGATGTTTAGAGAAAGAATAGCTAACAAGTTATAAAGTAAATTAAAATATAAAAGTATAATCCCACATAAAATTCTGAACAAATATAAAGGCATATTGGCATCCTGGAATCTCTGTAACAAAATACGTAGCATTAACAACGTCGCCTAACATTAACAACAGAAATAAAATTCAACCACCTCACTCATATGAAATTTCTTGATTCATTAATATCTTTACAGGTTTCACCTGTCCACAGCTTTGGTTAGGCAGAAAAAACAGCACCGTGTCTGATCAGGCTTCTGACTCTAATATTAACGGAAGGGAGAGGCAAAAGCAAAAATTGAGCTCCAATACATAATTCTGAAATGCTGCCACGGAAAAAAAGACTTAGCACTTTTTCCTTTCATTTCCATTTTCTTTGCAACAAATCTGTCCTTTAAGACTAAGATGTTAAGATATGACTTATCCTTGCTGAAGCCATCTCCTTATAAATGCAGATCTCCCAACAGGCTTCATAGCCCTGATCTCTTCCTTCAAGTTGCTCCTGATTCAAGCTGATAATTTTGCTCTCTTTAATCCAGTGAAACTAAATAAGTTCTTGACACTTCAAAAAGAATTACGAGAAGAAAAATTCTCTCTCCAGACAAGTACAGGTAAGGTTCTAATCTATTGATGGGTAAAGTGTTCCTTATATTACCATGGAGCTGCCTAGAGGGGTAAGAAAGAGATCAGAGCAGAGGTATGGCTCTGGTCCTTAACCACAAACAGCACAAGTTATAAGGAGAAAGCTTCAGGTTCACAGAACACTACAACTTGTGGCTGCTGATATACACCAAATGTTTGTATCTGCCCAAAATTCACGTTGAAGTCCTAAGCCCTGACGAGGGGGTATTTGGAGTCAGACCCTTTGCAGGAAATTGGGGTTAGATGAGGTCATAAGGGTGAGGCCCTCATGATGGCATTAGTGCCCTTAAAAAAAGAGCCATCAGAGAGTTTGCTGTGTCTTCCCCTTTCACATGTGCATATCCAAAGAAGAGGTTATGCAAACACACAGAGAGATGCTGGCTGTCTATGGGCCAAGAGAAGAGTCTCAGAATCAAACCAATCTTTCCAATGCCTTCATCTTGGATGTTCCAGCCTCCAGACTTTGAGAAATACAGTTCCATTGTTTAAGCCACCCACACTATGGTATTTTGATATGGCAGCCCAAGCAGACTAATACAGCTGCACTATCTGGACAGAGGAATACAACCTGGGTTTTATAGCTATCCACCCTGATCCCTATATATCGACCTCTGAAGGAGGTCACAGGCACCCACACCCACAGTGAATACTTAATGTCACTACAACTCAGCTATTAAAGAATTCAGCATTAACTACCGACAATTTAACCTACATTTAAAACTAAAGAAGACTTCTATTTCTCACCAAAATGAAGTTAACAGGGACAAGATTTACTGTCCTGCCTGAACAATAACAATTATAAAAAAGGAGAGAGGGGTGTAAAATAAAAGAAGCAATACTTCATCGCCAGTAGACCCATATTTCAAGCAATGTTAAAGAAAGTTATTAGGCAGAAGGAAAATAATAGAAATATAGGTTGACAGGGAGGAATAAAGTGCACCCAAAAAATGCACTTTATATATAGAAAATATATAAGACTTTTCTGTTATTATTTAAAAGATATTTTAAATTATTTTTAATTTTTAAAAGATAAATTGAATAAACAATAATAATGTATTGTGGGGTTTATAGCATATGCATAAAAGTAAAATGTTTGACAAAAGTAGCAGAAAGGCTGAGAGGAAAATAGAAGTACACAGTCTTAAGGCTCTTAGACTACATATAAAGTGGTATAACATCATTTGCATAGACTTTGATAAGTTATAGATACATACAATAAGCTCTAAAATAACCATTAAAACAAAGAATTACAGCTGATAAACCAACAGAGGAGATAAACTGGAATAATAAACAATAATCAACACAAAATAAGAGAGAAAAAGAAGGAAAGGAGAACAAAGAGCAGATGATACAAATAAAAAAGAAATAGTAAGATAATTTAAAAATTAATCACAGCAGTAAGAACATTAAAAGTAAATGATCTAAACACCCAATTAAAAGGCAGAGATTGTCAGATTGGATTTATTTTTTATTTATTTTTTTTTGAATGGAGTCTCCCTGTCGCCCAGGCTGGAGTGCAGTGGTATGATCTGGGCTCACTGTAAGCTCTGCCTCTTGGGTTCAAGTCATTCTCCTTCCTTAGCCTCCCGAGTAACTGGGACTACAGGTGCCCACCACCACGCCCGGTCAATGGATTTTTTTAAGACCCAACTACATCCTTACAATAAGAAAATCACTTTAAACATAAAGACTAACAGGTTAAAAGTAAAATAATGAGAAAAGATACATTGCATCAACACTAAAACCTAGTGTAAATGCTTCACTTAAGCATATATCTTGTACCTTTTTCATCTGACAGCATCATACCTAAAACCTTGGCAATAAGTTCATGTGATAATGGTTAAGAAGAGTATGAAAAATGCTCATTTGAAGTTTACTTTTACATCTTTCACAAAATCAGCAGTGAAGGTATAATTCATTGCTACAAATATCCCCTAGTAGGATCATATAATATATTCTTCAGAGAATTCAATGCCAAAAAAAGTCTGCAGTCCATGCAAATTCATGTGCTTTCTTTAATCAGATAAGTATTCTATGAGCCAAAGTTTTCCCTTTATGTCTTGGCTAACAAACAGAAAGCTCAAAGCCAGACTAAATTAACAGAATTCTCACTTCCTTCTTCTAATCATTTTTGACCTTTCCTAAAATTATTTTTCTTACATTGCACTTTTGGAAGCAACTTTGAATTCTTTCTTTTTAAGAGTGTGCTTTATAACAGAAAAAATACCAGGAATCAGATTGAGTAGTCGCTCCTCCACTTATAAGATGTGTGACCTAAATCACAGAGGTCAAATTATTGACCTAAAGTTCCATTTTGCACCATAAATTGAGAGTATCTTAGCCTCCCCCTCAAGAACATTGATAAAAATGTGAAAGTTTGCAAATTTAACACAAAACAAAGCTAATATTAAATGAATGTAGAAGATTATCAAAATTAGTGTGGTTAAATTTTTAACCAAAGTCTGATCTTACGATATAGTCATTTCCAGGCTAATTAACTTCTTTTTCACCTATTATCAATACAAATCAATTAAAAGTTAAATGTTCTGATACAGATCTATAGTCTATTCTAACAGAGAGAAGCGATAAAATGAACAGCTAGAGTCAAATTTTAGAACTCTGATTGCAGAAACAAGAACAAGGAAAACACTGGAACTCTCAGGTGAGCATGGATGAAAGAAGGTAGAACCTAAACCAGGCCTGGATCTGCAGAAGTATTAAAGATGGGCCCCAAAGGCTTGTGAATTCAGGTATGCACTTGTTACTCCTTTGATTGTCAATTAACACTTCTGCATAAGAGGAAAGAAAAGGAACAAGGGTACAAGGACATCAATTGCTCTGATATTTTATCAAATGCAGAGTTGCCCTTAAGCAAATCTACTCCAGTACCAGGCATTCTGCTCAAAGCAATGAGGGGGGGTTCTCTCTCTGGCCTCAGGCAGAGCCTTAGTTGCGAGGTTCACCTGTATTTTAGCATTCCAAGTGGTCAAAGTTAACTGCAGCCTGGCTTTCACAGAAGTGAAATAACTAGTCTTTTCTATCAGATGCACAGAGCAATGAGTTAAACAAGAAAAGAATTCAGGTTGTACACAGGTGGCTCATCAAGAATATCGTCAATCTTGGCCAGGCGCAGTGGCTCATGCCTGTAATCCCAGCACTTTGGGAGGCTGAGGCAGGTGGATTACTTGAGGTCAAGAGCTCTAGACCAGCCTGGCCAACATGGCGAAACACCATCTCTTCTAAAAATAAAAAAAATTAGCGAGGTGTGGTGGTGCACCCCTGTAGTCTCAGCTACTCAGGAGACTGAGGCATGAGAAGTGCATGAACCTGGGAGGCAGAGGTTGCAGTGACTGAGATCATGCCACTGCACTCCAGCCTGGGTGACACAGGAAGACTCTGCCTCAAAAAAAAAAAAAAAAAAAAAAAGAAAGAAAGAAAGAGAAGAAAAAAAAAAAGAAAAAAGAATGGACAATGAACAAAGAAAACAGGGATTCTAAGAAGAAAATGGGAGGTTCCATTTAAGTATCTATAACATAAAATAGTTCATAAAAAATAGATCAGTGGTTCTCATCCTTTGGTGAGTATCAGAATCACCTGTGGAACTTGTTAAAAATGCAGATGCCAAGCTTTACCTCCCAGAAACTACATTACTGTGTGTATGATGTATCCCAATTTCAGAATCTCCAGTGTTGGTGTCAGGATTTTTCACATGCATGAATGAAAACGCAAATGCATGATTTTAAGTGAAAGCTATGTAGTCTTGAATTTGAATTGGAAGAGTCAAAATGGAGTCCTTATACATTTTATCTTTAAGACAACAACAATACATTTCCTAGTTCTGTATGCTAAAAAGATCTAAAAATGTGACCTACCCAGTAGGAATAAGCATACCCCAGGGACCAGAGTACAGTTTCTAAATAACACTTCCCACTAAAAGAAATGAGCTTCTAGGAGAAATAGCTGATTCCAGGTCTGAGGCAAGAACAAAACAAAATAAAAAACTTTCTAAGATCAGCCTCGAATATCTTATCACAATCAGAAAAGGATATTAGCAAAGGTTCTGGGGTCAAAATTAAAAGAGTCTTCCACTGGCCAAAAGCAGGATAATTTGAATATCAATAAGAATAATAATTGAATGGATTGAAGCATAAGTATGTTTAATCCTATATATTCAAAATAATACTAAAGCAAAAGAAAACTTTCATAATTATCTTTGAAGGGTGCTGAGAACCAACTAACTATTGTGAAAATCAGTAAATAAAGATAAAGAATCAGTCATCTGTCTTGCCATTCTATATATACTGCACCTTAAGTTAAATGATAAGGGGAAGTTTCTCCTTATGAAGGAATGGCAGAATAAGATCCTCACCATTTTGCGGCCCTCACTGAAAGAATAAATCTACACAATGATCTTCAAATGGTTACTGACACCACATGCATACAAAAAGGTACAGACATTATGTACCTACCTATGAAGTATTCTTGCCCTTTATACTCTCCCATCCCCCCAAAAAAGGAAAGTAAGCTTGAATCTGATAGACTTATTTGACTAACAAGAAATCAAAAAATTTTTAAAAAGCATGTTAAACAACATCAGGAAGACATAGTAAGCAAAATCAGACTGTGGGCAATTATGGGACAAGCAGTCCAGTTTCTGAAACTTCAAGGGAGAAAAAAGGGTGAAGAAGCTATAGGTTAAAAAAAACTTGGCATGCTAATCAAGTAGTTATAACTCATGGACTTTATTTGACTCTTGACTCAACAAATAAAAATTTTTTTTTCAAAGTAATAATAATATAAGGCAATTACAGAATTTTAATACTGACTGGATATTGTTGGTATGAAAGTATTTAGGTAAGAAAATATTGTGGTTATCTTTTTAAAAAAGAATCCCTGTCTTTTAGAGATATATACCAAAATCTTTATGGAAAGATAATACAATGTCTATAATTTCCTTTAAAATGATGCATGGTAGGGACAGTAGGTGAGATTGCAGGTGAAATAACATTGGTCATGAGTTAATAATTGTTGAAGTTGAGTGATAAGAACATGATATTCAATACACTATGCCCTCTGCTTTTGTATGTTTGACATTTTCAACAATAAGAAGTTTTTAAAATGTCAAAAGCAAAAGCAAACAAAAAATGCAAAACTATGGCATTAAAGTTCAAATCTTGGTTATCACTGGGGAGGAAGGAAGAGTAGTAATTTTGAGAGGCCATGAGGAAGACTTCCGGGGTGTGCTGCTGGCAAAGTTCTTGACCTCAGTAATGGTTACTCGGGTGTTCATTTTGTGACAATTTACTGAGCTGTACATTTACACTATGTGTACCTCCCTGGTGTTATACTTCAGCTAAAAAATAGTTAAGAGTAGACTACTATTCAGCAATATGAACAAAAAGATGTATTTGATAGGATGACAGTATTTAATACTTTTTAATGTATAATACTTACATAGTGTTTAAGAAATGTATGGACATTAACCAAACGGAATAAAACAATGTGTTGTTAAAGTTGTAGTCTCTAATTATATTGGAACCAATCCTCAAACACAGACCCATGACAGAATCAAGATATATTACACGTAGGGAGTATGTTAATAATAATAATAATAATAATAGCAAATACTTATGAAGTACCTATCATATGCCACTTGAGTTAAAAGGTGGTTATAATTTCTCTTAACAAGTCTCTTGAATAAGCTGTAAATACTCAACTTTGGCTTACAATATTAAATTCATATTTGCTGGTATGCTGTCCAGCATATATTTATTGGTATACTGAATAGCACAAACATGAAATAACAATTCTTTCTATTTAATTATTAAAGGTGGTTGTTATAATTATTAAATAATAAATAAATTGTAAGTTTGCTATACTTTATCTTTCCAGATAGCAAACTTATAATTTATTTTGAAAAAACAAAAACAAAAGTGAGTTGAGAAGCCATGTTGCTTGGTGGTTACTAATAATATCTCTGGTGTCAGTCAGGATTTGAATCCTGGTTCATCTACAAGCTATGAGACAGTAAGCAAGTACTTAATCTTTTTGTGCTTCAGGTTTCAAATTTGTAAATGGGAAAATAGTGCTATAAGCGCTGGCTGCCAAGAGAATTAAATGAGATGGAACTCTTAGCTTAATGCCTGGCAAACAATATCTGCACATTAATGTTAATTACTATATATTTATTATTTTTATAATATAAAAGGATAGTCACCTGCAATATCTCCCTTGGTAGCATTTCAAGATATTCCTCTAAAAGAAGTATGATGAGAAAATTTTTTAAAATTAGAGGATGTTTCTATATAGTTTCTACAACAAATGAAAATTTCAAATACAGGGAGAAAACAAATAAAAATAGAGAGAGGTACGGCATAGCACAAACAGAGGGCTAAGAATTTAGAAAGCCAAGATACAAAAAAAGCTAAAATCAAAACATAATTGCTAATTGGTTTCAAGTTGAAAAAATAAAACTGCTTCTAAAGACTTGAAAGTTTACATATCAAAGCAGGTTTAGAAGAAATTATTCAATAGTCATAAAGCACTGGTTGACAGAATCATGTCATGTGGTACAAAAACCCATGGGAAACCTACCTGAACCAGAGATCCATGAAAAGTACATTAAGCTCTTCTCTGAAGCAGGTACCACTTACCTGAGTACAAAGAAATAGTGCCAGACACCGGGGATTCTGTCGAGTAATTCCACAGGACACTGGTGGCCTTGGTCTCTCTCTGAGTCTCCATAGCTTCTCAGAGCCCACAGGACTTTTAAGGTACTTAAATATGTGGTATATTTTGACAACAGCATGTTTTATAAGTCATTTGTCATCAGCAAACTTTAGACAAGGTTAATGAAAGTTCTGTCACTTTAATGTCTAGCCGGCTTTAAATTACAAATGTCATGCGCCATGACTAAAGAAAGGGCACCGCAATAATACCATAAACCATCATCTCCAGGGACATACAGGTAATTGCATAGCTCATTAAAAAACTGTTTTAATTATTAATTGACCGTGTCAGAGTTGTCCTTTGAAGTCAATTTTAATTTTTTTTTTCCTTGCAAGCATTATGATTTCAAGCTGACCTACAGAACTTTGTGTATCACCTAAAACATTGGCAAGGGTGGTTGAGAAGAAAGCTCTCCAATACTTGAAATTATTCTCAAGTCACTTGCAAATAATTTGCTTACTGGGAGGAAGGAAACAGCGGAACACTTCTGAGAGGTCTGGTGTGTTCCAATCACCTCAGAGAGAGAAACCACAGGGCCAAAAATAAATGAATAAATAAAAATGCCCAGGAGTTAGAGCAAGTACACATCTTTTTTGTTAAATTTTCTTTCATGATGACGCAAAACAAGGACTAAAAATGTTTGCAAGAAACCACAAGGTGATCTGATCAGAGCTTAGCTAAAATTACAAATCTGACAATGAATAAAATTCCCTGCTTAATAAATAATTCTAGAAATAAGCTGATAATAATCGCCAAAGCTCGGTAGCCATTGAAAATGGGCAACAGTAATAACTCATACACCTCGATCTATCTTTAAGTTCCATTATTCAAGAAAGAAACTAGTATTCCCACTTTATTTTTTTTCTGAATAAATCTAGAAAACACTTTATAGATAAGAATACGTCCACTCTTGCAAAAGATGCCAGTGGCAAGCTTCAGTGTGGAACAGACAAGTATCCATAGTGTCAGAAGACAGAGTTGCCACTGATTTATTAGCAAATTGAACCTTTGCTTTAAGAGAAAAGAATTTCTCAAAATCTGTATCTGATAAATTAACCCAGTCCTTCACGAACACCATTTCAAAAAGACACTGCCAACCTTAAGTTTGAATGATTCATTGTACTGTAAATATTTGAGGTGATTATGTCTGGCAGCAAGTGTCTGAAACAAGAACCCTCTTGCAACACAACCTAAAAATCAACGGACAATGTATGAGACAGTTAGGGTGCAGTAATGAAGCTGACCTCAGACTATTTCCATCAATACAAACACTGACAGCAAGTTTGTTTACCAAGTTTTCAGGGCCAACAACTTACAATTCAAACCTGGGATCAATTTATGGACTCTGCTGTTGTTAATGACCACGCAGGGAGAGTAATACCAGAAAACTGACAGCATCCTCAGGATGAACAGATCATCTCCCAGAATGTGAAAATGAGATAAGTCAATTCCACCGCCTTGTCTGCACCTTGAGAATTAAACAGCAACTACCAACTGATATCAGAAATTACTCTCATTGGAGGTTGAACACCTGATTCTCCTTTGCCACATCAAGCAGAGACTGACAGATAAAAGAATGACAGGAAAATTCATTCCGTCCACATTTCCTGCACTATGGAAAACCGCACGGATACAGAGCAAACCATCAAAGAAGTGTAAGTAAATAAGTACATAAATAAATAAATAAGAAAACTAAAATACAGTAAGAAAGGAAACTTTCTTTCAGAATAAGGGTCAGCAAACCAAGGCCTGTGATCAAAATCCAGTTCACCATGTGCTTTTGTAGAGACTGGAAGCTAGGAATAGTATTTGCCAATGGTTGAAAAAATTCTTAAGAATATATCACAACACCCGAAAAATACATAAAATTCAAATTTTAGTGTCCATAAATAAAGTTTTATTGGAACACAGCCATGCTCATTCGTTTACATATTGTCTACAGCAGCTTTCACACTACAACAGCAGAACTGAGTAGTTGTGAAAGAGACCGTATGGCCCACAAAACCTAACATATTTACTACCTTGCCCTTTACAGAAAAACTTTGCCAATCTCTGCTATAGTAGAATGAGACCTAAATTCCTAACCTTTGATGTCACGGTAAGTGAACTAGCCCCGTCTTCACCCCTTCAAGCAATCCTGATATTTAATAATTTAAAGAGTTTCCCATAATAGGAGATTTCACAATAAATGATAAATGTCTATAGCTAGAGGATGTAGCATGAGTGCTTACAAACTGATTAAAAAGTTTTGTCTCTGGTATACACATATAAGTGCAATGCAATGTATAATATTCTAATTAAATTGAAGAATGGCTGCACCAGCCATGTTTCTATTAGCCAGGTCTTATTTAATTTAGCAGCAGTAATGAATGCTGAATCAGGTTAGGGCTGTTAAGATTATCTGGCTTTGCCAATCTACTAAAGTTAGGATAATAAAACTGAAGATATGTAATAGTGAAGACATTTAAAAAGAAAACTCATTTATCTTCAATTAAAATATCCACAATACTGACAATAAACTTATTACTCTTCCCCATAGAAAGGTTGGGTTGAGGAAAACAGCACATTAAAAAGAAATCCAGTCCAGCATGGGGACAATGGAGTTACATTTTAGAAGACCAAATATAGTCTGATTTTCTTGTGATACCAATATTTTACACATTTGTGTAAAAAAGCAACGGGGAAAATAAAGAAGCTCAAAATATTCACTAGCTGACAAAGCACTGCACTAGATTTTTCAACTTCAATAAAGCTAAGCCCCTTACACTGAACAGCCAAGGGGTGGTGACCGTGTTTCTTGATACGAGCAAAACCCTGTGTTATGAAGACATGTTAAATTGTTTACTTGTTTGAGTCATTGGGAGGAACTACGTGGTCATGCTTCTGGTCAACTTCGTTTTTTGATAGTAAAAATGAAATTATGACTTATTTCATTCTGCAGATTTTATGAGTTTATTGACATAAACACAGAAAAACAAAAACTCCCTACAGAAACGGTATCAATCACCTAGGTACATTATAAAATACAGTATCTTTAATAATATTTGTTTTAGCTACCAATTAATTTTATGAGGTAATAGTAAAACTGCAGCCTCTTCCTCCCCCTTCAGTATAGACTATATAATAAAAATCAACAGATATAGGTCAGATCAATGGAGTGAAATAAACTATTTGAAGTCAGTTCTGAAAACGTACTAGTTCCGGTCCTCAAAAGACATTGTATTCCTAGGGTTTACAGCCCCTTCGCATTTAAAACCAGAGCGTCCAGATGCTACACTCAGAAAGGAAGAAATACAGTTCCTCTATTTCCTTATTTTCATAATTTCAAAGATGTAAAGTGAATTTGGAATATAAGTCAAACAGGAAACCAAGAAAAATATAATCGGGGAAAGAAAAGAAGTATAAAATGGTCAGCTGGCAGCCAAAGAGAAGTTACACAAAACTGCACTTACACTAGCTCTGATTTTGAACTCAAGCAATTCTCAGCCCTCACATGCCAGTCCTGATTATTCTCTTAAAAGTGCTACTGTGTGCTATCTTCAAAATATTAAACCATCCATCAGTGTAAGTGATCCCATTAAACAATCTCTGGGTACGCTATCCAGCTGAATGAAAATGAAACCCTAATGATTATCTGAGATGGAAACCAAGTGATTTAAGGGGAAATAGAAAATGTTTTCTGAATTTATCAAAAGGCAAACAATATTTTTACAACTTTTTCTATTCTCTACCACCAAAATAAATAAATTGATTAAACAAACATTAGGCCCCTTTTCAACTTTTAAATACTAGGATATTAGTATTAAAAGACTATGGTTGTCAATGCCCTCTTTCATTTTTTAGTAATAGTTAAAAGAGGAGACAGTGAGAACACCATAAGTAGAGGTAATCAAGCAACAGTTAGATGATCATATGTGTATGCTGCAAATGAAACTCAGGCACTCATTTTGGATGAGAATCAAATCATCTCCAGGTTTTATCTCTGATGATTTAGGCTACATAAAGTGAAAAACAACTGCAGAGAGAGAAGCTACCTCTAACTTAAATAAGAAGCTTAATATTTGTCTAAACTCTTAATTAGCGATACTTTTTAAAAATCCAAAACAAACATATTCCTCTCAGTAGTGCGAAGAGGCTCCCTTTCATACAAACCTTAAAAAGAAGGTGATAACAGGCCAGGCAAGGTGGCTCACGCCTGAATCCCACTTTGGGATTCCGAGGCGGGTGGATCACAAGGTCAGGAGTTTGAGACCAACTTGGCCAAGATGGTGAAACCCCATCTCTACTAAAAATACAAAAACATTAGCTGGGCATGGTGGCGGCCACCTGTAACCCCAGCTCGGGAGGCTGAGGCAGGGGAATCCCTTGAACCTTGGGGGTGGAGGTTGCAGTGAGCTGAGATCGTGCCACTGCACTCTAGCCTGGGCGACAGAGTGAGACTCCATCTCAAAAAAAAAAAAAAAAAAAAAGAAGGTGGTAACGACAACTTTCAAGACCATGCAAAATGCAATTCCAGAAGAAAATGACAGACTGTAAATACCATTCAGTGTCAACTCTATTCTAACCACAGAGGAGTAACAACAGGAAAGCAGACAGTAATGCATAATGTTAACCCACTAATTACTGGGAGTCCACAACATATAGCAAAAACAGTACAAGCTTTGAAATCAGATAAACCTAGACTCATAGCTCAGCTCTAATTTTTACTACACTATTTGACCTTGGGAAAGTCATTTAGCCTTTCTGAGCCTCGCTTTCCTTGTGTATAAAATGGAGACATCTTCTCATTTCGTTGTTATAGGGATTAAAAGAGAAACCACAGGTACACTATTGAAAGCAATATTTGACACACTAAATACATTAATCTTATTCCCTCCCCTCCACAATTAAACAAATAGTGACTAAATGTGAGAATGTGCAAGGCTACGCTAGGGCACCGTTCCTCAAGTGTGATGCATGAGATGACTTTAAGTGGTACACAAATAAAAATTTATAAGTTCTAATAATAGGATTTTTTTTTCTTTTCCTTTTTCTTTTTTTTTTTTTTGAGACAGAAGTCTCGCTGTGTCACCTATGTTTGAGTGCAGTAGCCCGATCAAGTGATCCACTCGCCTCAACCTCCCAGAGTGCTACGATTACAGGCGTGAGCTCGCGTGTGGCAATAATTAGGATTTTAATGTAAATATTAATATGTATTAAAAGAAGATACAGCCCAACAGACCTGTAATTTCATGGCTAATACTGATTTGGATGAGGTTGGGTAAAAAGGTAAACCAATTTAAAGAGAAATATTATGTAAATAATAATACTGTTAATATAAAGATACGGGGGGAAGTCATACAAGAAAAAAAACAATACATTCTAGGAATATAAAATGCACGAGAGGTTTCCTGTCCTCAAAAAGCTTACAGCTTAAGGGCTGTGCAGATCAAGAATGAGCAAACAAATGAAATACCCCAAGTAAGAGTTCAGAAACATATATGTTATATTCAAGAAGAACAGTGCTAAAAGTCCTGCTCTTCTTGGCTCTTTTAACATGTATCACACATAAAAGCTCTTTAAAAATAAATGAGTTTACCAATTGTCATGCTGAGTTGTAACATAAGCTGATTTGCAAGTCCTTGTATAGTGGCATGTTAGGGATTTGTATGTTAAATCTTCTCTTTGAATTATCCAGGAAATCATTATTTTCTCACCTTTATTTCCTTTATAGGAAACTAAGAAAACAAAGGTTTCTGCTGGTTTAATAGCCAAATCACTCAAGACACTTGAAGCAAAACAAGGAACAATCTACTTAAAACTGTAAGATCCAGGAACGCTAAATAGTTTTAGACTTCAGCAAGTATCATCCTTAGAGATGGTACATGTGACAAGAATAAGCTTAATTTGCATTTGAAAATAGAGTAAAACAAACCAAGTCTCCCTTTAAAGGGAAATGGTAGCAAAATAGAGAAGAAAAAGAAAAGGACTTTACATGTATTCCCAAGGAAAATCACAGACTCTTTAAAAGCTCTCACAATAGGCTGGCCCTTTTAAAAACTCTGTCATATCTTAAAACAAAAGTCTTATTATCATCTCCTAATTTATGCAATGTATTAACTTTTGCTTCTTTAATCTATTTTAAAGTTGTCTTCCTGCATGATTCCTCTATAACATTTTAACAGTATACCTGCATCGTGTCAAAATTTATCTGTACCTAGTATTAGTTTAGATAAATAAACATGTAGATAGCTACAGGCAACTGAAGCTATGTTGAAAGGGATCCAATGCTATCCATGCCCAGGGAGCATACAGCTCTATTTCAGAAATGTACAAAAGGAGAATATTCAATGCGAAAGGAAATATATAAAACAGAATAAGTGAAAAGGTAACCAGCAGTTACATTCTCTGAAGTACAGTAAGATATGCTTCTATAGTTTGGACCATACAAGGTGAGAGCATGTTAATGACTAATTAGGCTCCTGTATTAGCTAATAGACAAGAAGAATAAAGCTTCAAGACCATATCACGAAAATCACTCTGTCATACTGACATTCATTCCAAGTGTCGCTACAGCATCGATTTTCTTAGAAGCTTTATGATTCAGCTGCCTTTGAACCACAGAGTGATGCCCACCTGCATCAGCGGCTAAGTACAGCTGTAGAACAGACAGACGTGGCCGACTTTAAAAATTACCTTTTTCCCCCATGACTTGCTTAGAAAATATGCACAGTGCAAAAAGTTTATAAAAATTGGGTTGGAATTTTAGAGTCTCTAACAGAGTTTCTTAGGAATTTTTGAAATATAGATTTTATTAAAATCCCCTGTTTTCTTTAAAAAGCAATATTAACCCAAACAGCTGATCCTTATTCTGGTTCTTTTGCACCTGAATTTTTAAGTTAATCACCCTTAATTACCTTTCATAGCAAGAGCCAATAGCAAAGGACTGAAAGAAACAGGTTGGAAGCTCAGTAGATCCCAAGGTTTCCCTAAGAGCTCCTGGAAAAAAAAAATTGCAACTAATCTTCATCTGTGTAGAGAAACACAAATCCCAGGGTCACTGCCACTAAATCGGCAGACCAATGTGATGAGCACTGCCGTCAATATGGCTATTCTACCTTGACTTTTGAATGTCAAAAATAATATGGACAGAATTGACTAAGCAGTCTCCGAGGTACTGCCTTTAAAATTTTTAACTTTATGGCCATTAAATATTGAACAGATAATTGGATTTATCCCCTTCAGTGCTTTATGGATGTACAAAGTACCTACCTTCTCCTGTTTTATTCAAATTAATGGTGCTCTTTTAAAGTGTCTGCCCTGAGTGCACACTATAGCCGACTCATTAAAAGGATGCTTCATCCTCTGCTTACCAACTCTTTTCTCCATTTGCAGTGAGAGGGCAAAAACCACACTCAAACCCACATTGACAGTCAAGGGCAAATCCATTGAGAGTCACCCTTAAACCTAGACTTTTCCCTCCCAAAACTCAAGTACACAGTGTGATTTGGCAGTCGATTGGCTGTTATCACAGAAAACCACAACACAGAATCCATTTATTCTGTTTTTTAATTAAAACATTTACAAATGCTTCTTTGCAACTGGGTAGCTTACTGCTACATTTTAAAATCAAGTCTGAAGAACATAGGGATGCCAGTACCTCTCTAGAGGATTAGCCAAATGAAACCCTGGATTGTGTATTGGACAGGGAAAAAATATATACTCATGGAAAGGCTGTGCAATTCACACTTGTGATAAGGAATTTCTATCAAGTATGACTAACACCTAAAAACGTACAGTCTGAAAATAACTCTGGTGGAGGTGTTAGTGGAAAGGGGTTAATGGAAATAATGTTTTCATTTTAAACAATATAAATCCACAACTGGCATTCCATTGGCCCGTGACCTCCCCTTACCCAATCCTTGTTCAAGTCATTTGCTAGTATAATTGAAACCTTCTTTGAGAGTCTTTAGATTCCATTTCATGTTTTGGAGACAATGCAGCTAAAAGACATTTACCATCCATCTTTCTTAACGTTCCTAATCTAAATAGAAGACTCAAATCTAAGACTGTGCTTTTGATGGATCACTCGCCTCCCTATACAGTAGAGCTTAAAGAGATCCTATTATTGCTTTCAGAACCCTTACAGAAAACATACATTCATACTCATTTTAGTTTTTACCACCTAGCCACCTAGCTGAACATCATATATTTATTTTTAAAATGTGCTTTCAAAACAAAAAAAAAAACAGATTTTCAATTAAAAATTTCAAAAGAACAAGTTAGAAACAACTGACCCATTAAATGCAGATGGGAAAAAAGGCTTAACAACATAACATGTTAACAATTACAAAATTGTGGAAATAGGATTTGCTGCTCCTGAGTAAAATGCTAAAGATATTCCAAAGCTTTTCCTATGTGTGAGTACTTCTAATACAGGTCTCCATCTGTTCACTTCTCTCAGAGTTGAAACAGGCAATAAAACAATGCCTCCAGCCAGCCAGCCAGCAAATGCCTTTACTGTGACTCTACTAAGGGACATGCATCTGAGAATCATCTCAATTATTCTATTATATATTTGAAAATATGATTTTTACTTTATGTTTGCCTTGGAATGTATACAAAGTCTATCTAATAAGAAGTGGACCAATTCGTAATTGTTTATAGCAAGAAAATGTAAAGGATTAAAGAAAACAAAAAAAGAGCCCACCTCAGGTACATATTAAACTGGAGCTAACTTAATCAAGATTTTGCAATCTGCCAGAAAATCCCTCCCAAATATAAGTAGATAAAGCCTTAATTTCACCACTCAAATTGACTGCCCAGACCAGCTAATTGACTGCACAAAGGCAGTCTCCCTTCATCTCCATTTCTAAGTTCCTTGACTTCACAAAAGTCACAACTGACCAGTATCAAAAATACAAGCAAAGCTTGCTGACAGCTCCCTAGACTCTACCTTTCTAGTATCTTTGGTGTTCAAGCTACTTTATTTCTTCCCTGCACTGGGATTTCCTATATAAGAACAGGATAAAACTGAACACATTCAGATATTAAGATTACATGAGTTACCTCTAACAAAATTACCTGCTGGAATGAAAGGAGCAATTTTGAAGTTTGTTGCCAGCCTTAATTCTACAAATCAAGATCTGTCCTGGAACACCATTTCACCTTAACCTGTCTGGCAGTTCATTAAGTCACTCAGGATTAACTGTTGTGAGTCCACCATTCCACAAACTCCAGTTGTAATTTTGAACAAGAAAAGGACATGAGACTATTGCATGGGCAAATATTAAAAAAGAAAGCCTATATATCTGACCACAACCCTAAGTGGGAGGAACACTTATATCCTATGCAGAGCTGGCATACATGTCAGTCTTTATATTAAATGTATTTTTAAATCTTATTGTTTAAAAAAAAGACACGTCTTAGTCTATTTTCTGTTGTTTATAACAGAATACCAGAAACGGGGTAATTTATAAAGAAAAGAAATTAATTTCTTATAGTTATTGAGGCTGAAAAGTACAGGGTCAAGGAGCCACATCTGGTGAGAGCCTTCTTGTTTGAAGGAACTCTCTGCAGAGTCTCAGGCTGGCACAGGGCATCACATGGTGAAGGGGCTGAGTCTGCTAGCTCAGATCTCTCTTCCGCTTCTCATAAAGCCACCAGTCCGGCCGGGCGAGGTGGCTCACGCCTGTAATCCCAGCACTTCAGGAGGCTGAAGGGGGTGGATCACGAGGTCAGGAGATCGAGACCATCCTGGCTAACACGGTGAAACCCCGTCTCTACTAAAAATACAAAAAATTATCCGGGCGTGGTGGCAGGCGCCTGTAGTCCCCGCTACTTGGGAGGCTGAGGCAGGAGAATGGCGTGAACCCGGGAGGTGGAGCTTGCAGTGAGCCGAGATCGCGCCACTGCACTCCAGCCTGGGCGACAGAGCAAAAACTGTCTCAAAAATAAATAAATAAATAAAGCCACCAGTTCTACACTTCTATAACCCATTAATCTATAACTCGTTAATCCATTAACCCATGAATAGATTAATCCATTCATGGGGGCAGTCACCTCTTAAAGGCTCTACCTCTCAATACTGCCATACTGGGAACTAAATTTCAACGTGAGTTTTGGAGGAGACAAATATCCAACCAAAGCAACATGTAATCAAGAGTTTAACCCTTGAAAAATGTACATACTTGATATATCCACCATTCAAAGATGTTTTCAAAGTTAAACTAGAAGAGTGGGAACTAATGAAATTTCTCACCAGTAAGCTAGCATCAAAGAGGTAAAATTTAAAAACAGCAACAACAACCAGGTAGCAACAGTGTATGGAAGCAGGGAACATAACCTATAGCACAAAGACAAAGGGGCTAAGCAAGCCTTCGTCATGAAGTGCCTGTCACTTGCCTTATCTGTGAACTAAACATTTCTTATTTTCTACTATACAAAAAGCTAAGGCTGGTCACAAGAACCAAGGGTTGCTTTTGTTCCTTTTGAATGTCTAATAAGTATGCTTGATTAAAAAATAAAATAATTTAAAAGAATAAAGGTGATCATTTTAAACTCGAAGAGATGAACGCCATTTGCTATAAATAAATGACCAACTTCTAGCAGTAATACATGTCTCAGTATACCTTTATACAGAGTTTTGAATTTGGAAAGCACATTAGTGTTCCACATATTCAAAAAATAAAATTAATAAACAAAGATGGGAAAGATAAAAACCTAAAATTGAAAGCAAAATGAAGCAAAGGGAAATGGATGTACTTCAAATTAAAAACATAACCACTATGATGAGAGGTGAGAAAAAGAATAATATAAGTTATGATCTCAAAATTTTACTATCTACCCTATTCTAAGAAAGTGTGGAGGGAAAACATGTCCTGAACTTTGTTAGTAGGTCTTTTTCTGTACTAGTATGGGTGACATAATTTGAATCTATTTTTAGATGTATTAGAGGACTGAGTAAATGAACAAATGTGTTTGGAGGCAGGGTTTTCACTGTGGAAGAATAATACCTTATAGAATGGAGATAAGCATTCTCTGTGAAAATGGTTTGAATTTGGAAGTCTTACTGTGAACTCATAATTCCTAAAATATGTGCTTGTGTATGCATACATGCATGTGTGTGTATATTATTTTTCCTGTCTCCTAAAAAAGGCCTAGAATCAAATCTACGCTGTTAGTAAGTAGCATACCTAGTACCCCAATATTGGTTTCTAATACCTTTCTCCTCTAAAAAAAAACAAACAAACAAAAACAAAAAACAAAAACAGAAGTCATCAGAGAAATGGTCGATTACAGGGCTAGGGCAGAGAAAGGACAAGATAAGGCTAGCACATCTCACACCAGAAAAAGTTAGTGCTGAGAAAATGATAGGAGTATATTAGAAGAACACAAGATACAATCTAAAGGGGTCCCCACCAATTAAATCTAGGATAATTTGAGCACTGAAATAAGGAAAGTAATGAACTATATATACCATTAAAAAGGGGAGTCTATAAGTCAATAAGACTGATAGGCAGACAGACAGAGAAGATAGATAGACAGACAGACAGACAGACAGACAGACAGACAGATAGATAGATAGATAATGAAAAGTGGATGGATGGATGGATGGATGGATGGATGGATGGATGGATGGATAGAAAAATTATTTATAGGAGAATGCTAACTACTGACTGGTAAAAGTTGATGAAGTGTTATAGTTGGAAAATCACCATAGAAAAGACTGGTTCAAGCAAGGATCATCAATAGATGTTAAATCTAAGGGGCGAGTTTTGAAGAGGAACAAGATATTTGCATGCTCTTAAAGTGCCTTCCCACGGATTGCTTATTAGTTGTAAGGGTTAATATAGTAACTATACAGTAGAAAAACAGGCAATGCCCTTATCAGATAACCAAAATTACCATCACCAACAAAGGATAGAAGGACATTGGGTATTACATTGGATATCTCTGGATGTAATAGTGTAATCTCCAGAATAACACTGAAGGACATGTTACTTCAATATTATTCTGGTTGGGAATACAGAGCCTTAATCTCCTCATGACAAAACATCAGACAAACTCAAATAAAAACTTTTTTACTTAAAAAATAAAAGAGGTGGGGGACTTCTGTATATTTTTTAATGTCAATGTCACAAAAGACAAAGCCTGAAGAACTGTTCCCCATTAAAGGAGATTGAAGAGGCATAATAGCTAGATTCAATATGTAATCCTGGACTGGATCTTGCACTGTAGGGAGGAAAACTGCTATAAAGGATATCATTAGATCAATTGACCAAACTGAAATATGGAGAACACTGACAGAAGATTAGATAAAAGTATTATGTCAATGTTAAATTTCCTGAAGCTAATAATTATACCATAGTTACATAAGAAAATCTTATTCTTTGGAAATATATTCTGATGTATTTTGAGGCAAAAGGACATGGTGTATGCAACTTACCCTAGAATGGTGCAGAAAAAAATGCACAGAGAAAAATGGAAGGGAAAAAGAAAAAGAAGGAAGGAGTGAAAAAGACGGAGTGTTCACAGACACAAATGATAAAGCAATTGGAATAAAATGTCAATAAGAGGTGAATCCATGTAAAATGAATACGGTTTACTTTGTACTATTTTTGCAACTTTTCAGTAAGTTTGAAACGATTTCCAAATAAAAAATGTAAACAACAACAAACAAAACAATGTCTTCACTCACACAGCCTTGTGAATTTAAAATAACATACACGGTGTTCTTAATCTCATAACTTTATTTCTGGAAATATCACCTCAATGTGGAAAAAGTCATATGTGCAAAGATATTTGTCAATGCATTGTTTATAAAAACAAACAACTTGAAAATACCACATGTAGTTTTCAAAAACTGAGAATGGTTAATTAAATTATGCTATGCAAATTCCAAAGAACACTATGCAGTATTTAAATGTTTACAAAAGTTTATAACAATTGGAAACACATGACATGATATTAAGTGCAAACAACAGGACTAAAGATGATACATACAGCACGATCACAACTAAGTAAAACAGGCAGATAAAAGGAAAAACCTTAGACAAAAATGCCTAGAAAGAAATCCAAGAAACTGTCAACATTGGTCATCTGTTCCTAGGAGATGGTTCATGGATGATTTTTTTCCTTTCTACTAATAATTAATTAGATATATAGGCTAATAATTATATAATACAAGAGAAGCTT